AGTCAACAGGCGCTACAAGTAGACAGCTTAAGTTGTCATATGTAGAAAAATCAGTTCGCTTTACCGAAAGCAGCAGTGGCTCTACCTGAGCTCCCTGTTCCGGGGTATCCATCCTCCTCCTCTTCCTCACTCGGCAGTGATCTGGTTCCAAAAAGAAGGAGCAGGAGCAGAGACCTTCCGCTGTGTGAAGTCCTGTCAGGTGTCGCGGTGACTGCGGGTCCACACAACGGTCACATGTTCATGCATCGGTCAGATGCTCGCTGATCATTAGCGCTCCATAGATGCTCACGAAAAAAAGAGAGAGAGAGAAAAAAATCAAGCGCCTCTCAGCCAGCTGACGTGAACGCGTCACTCATGAAGTGCTCTGATTTTATTGTTTGAAGCACAAAAGTGCAGAGTTTGCTTTGAGAACAAAGTTCTTGACAGAAATCTGTGTTTTTCCTTTCTGTTTTGCTCGATAAAGAGCGCTATAGGTCCTGGGTTACATAACCAGCTTTTATCTCGCTGGTTTTTAATAGACTCTGACTCACAGGGATTTTAGCAGAGAAGGCTGGAGTGAGCTTGATTCGGTGCCCAGTTTGCGTTTTCTTCGTATTTTTATTTGTTTAAAGCAACTTTAAAGTCAAACTACAAACGGTGGGGTGAAATGTTCAGTTTCTGGCCAAATTCCACAAACAACAAAAGCATAATCTTAAGTTAATTAAATCGACAAAATATTTTTTTTTTTCTGTTGTCTTGCAGCAGCAAGGAATGCAGTAAATAAATGCATCGACAGTTTTACTTCTGATCTTTAGGTGGATTTAATCTGCAGCCTAAGACAAGGCAATAATTTACAGATTAAATTAACTTTTCAATTAAGCAACCTAAAAAATAGGTCCCTGTTTTGTTTCCAATAGCCTTATAACTGTTTTATAATCCATTCTAACAAAGTGGTTCAGCAATAAAAGTATGGCATTTGCTTAGATTTTGTAAGCAAAATGTCCACTGCGGCTGGACATTTTGCTTACACTAGTTTAATATGTTTGCTGCACCAGTTCAAATCACTCATGGTAACACTTTTGTGTTATTCTACCCAGTAGAAGCATAAATTCCAGTTAACCAAACTGCTGCACTACTATCAAAGTCCTAAGCAAGGCTGTTTTTATGTAGTAGACAGTTGGGAACAAAAGCCCTGACTTATTAACTTGTCAACACATTCTCTGTTTACTAGTTCATTCATAGCTACAAAACGAATGTGTACACTAACCAAAAAGTGCAACCTGAGAAATCAACCAGTTGGGTACAGTAGCTGATTTTCTTTTGGCCCCGTTAGTAACTATTGAAACAAAACCAAGTGCCCCTTAGAGCTTCACAGGTTAACTCACTTGGCTCATAAATTCTGTGTTTTCCCTGTATTATCAAAGTTGGACTTTGTGAGTTCAGAAATTCAAGATTGTCACATGCAACATTATTCATCCTATCTATTTTTTACTATTATTTTCTCAGCTTAATGAATAATTGTACAAGCATTTTTACTACTATTTTTCAATTTGGTAGATACTTTCACTTGCTGAGTTAACAATACAGTAAATGATAATAGTGAAAAGGCCTGTGGCGCCCTCTTTGGTTGAGAAGAAGATTACAACTTCTATCCACAGATTACTCCTTCAATTGACACCAACTAAATTAGAATCACATTTAGATCAGTAGATTGAAATATGGGCTTTGTCTAAAGTGCAATTCATGTTTAAGTTGACCTTATTAAAATTGCGTAAAACCTTGGCTAAGAGATTCACAATAAGTCTAAACAATCATTCACAAAAGGACTGTAGCAATGGATGTACAAAAAAAGTAAAAAGTAAAAGAAAACAGTAAAACTGATGGCATGCTAAAACAAGCGAATTAGGCTGAAATAAATCAAAAATAATACTAAGAAACAGAAATGTTTAACTGATAATGTCAATCACAGTAATTGTAGAAAAACCAATGAAAGAGAATGAAATGTGTTTAAATAAACTGTCAGACTTGCATTAAACAGCATATGAGACACAAATTAATACTCAATTATCGATCAGAAATTAGAATAAAAATAAATAAATTCACTCTAAAATCACGAAAAGACTTCTGCAATACTCTAAAGAATAGCAATAAAAAATATATATA